TAAAATCCCCATTTTTTTTCAATTTTAAGTAATTGTTTGATTTAATTAATCATAATTTACTTATCAATAAAAAATATAATTATAATTTATTAATCAATCAATTAATCACTATAATCATAATTTAATAATCATCAATTAATTAATTAATTAATTTAAAATTTACTTATCAATTCAAGAATATTAATTATAATTTACTAATAAATCAATTAATCAATATATAACCATAATTATTTATCAATCAATTAAAGGATATATAATTATAATTTACTAATTAATCAATTAATGGTTATATAATTATAATTTATCAATCAATTAATTAATATAATCATTATTTATCAATCAATATTTAATCAATATAATCATAATTTACAATCAATCAATACATTAATATTATCATAATTAATTACCAACCAATTAAACAATTAATATAATCAAAATTTTATAATCAATTACTTGATTTAATTAATTATAGTTTACTTATCGATTAAACAGTATTAATTATAATTTACTAATCAATTAATTAATCGATATATAACCATAATTATTTATTAATCAATTAAAGAATATGCAATCATAGTTTATTAATTAATTGATTAATAATTACAATTATAATTTATCAATCAATTAATTAATATAATTATTATTTATCAATCAATATTTAATCAATTAATAAATTGATATCATCATAATTAATTACCAACCAATTAAACAATTAATATAATCATAATTTTATATTTAATTAATCTATTTAATTAATCATAGTTTACTTATCAATAAAAAATATAATTATAATTTATTAATCAATCAATTAATCACTATACTAAAAAATTAAATAATAATTTATTTATTTATTTAATTAATTAAAATTTACTTATCATTTAAAAAATATTAATTATAATTTACTAATCAAGTAATTAATCAATATATAACCACAATTATTTACCAATTAATTACAAAAGCTACCTGCAACAGCATGGGTTAGAGTCAAATCAATCATTCATTGCATTTGAAATTGGACGAAAAAGTTAACTGCACATGGCATGATATTTTTTATTTTCTATCAATATTTAATGGTAAAATATATTCTCGATTTTTTCTGCATTTTATTCGGTCAAGACAATTGACCGAAGTATTCAATTTTTTTTTTTTATTTTTCATCAGTATTTAATGTTAAAATGTAATGCACTTTTTTTTACTGCATTTTATTCGGTCAAGATAACTGACCGAATAAGATTCATAGCTAATTCGGTCAAGTAAAATGACCGAATTAGGGTTGGTGCAATTTTCCACCTTTTAAATTCAGTCAAATTGCTTGACTGAAATATTTTTTAATTGAATCATGTCACTTTTTTTTTTTTTTTTTTTATGAACAAATCACCTATTCAGTCATTTATTATGACCGAAATATAGGTTTTTTCAGTCAAAATATTTTCTTGATTGAATTATTCGGACCGAAATGACCATAATTCTAGTAGTGTCACTTTACCTGTTAATTTTTTTTAAATGATATAACTAAATCTATAAATTATTCTTAAATCCTTAATTTATAAAAAATATAAAAAAGAATAATTATTGTAAAACAAAAAGAATATTAATGATTTCTTTTTAAAAAAATCCAAACCAATCAAATAGTCTAATAAAACAGATGTATATACATTACAAAACGACAGAAAAATAATTGTCTAGTGTGTTTGGGTTGAAAAAATTGAGGGAAAAGGAAAACTGAGTTATTTAATCAGTGAAATTATAATGTTTTGAAATATATAATTTAATTAATAAAAAAATTCATTCTTTTTATTGTTTTTCCTTCATTTTTTTAACTAAATATACTTTAAGTGTAATTGAAATTTTGAATTTTATTTTTTTAGTGACTAAAAACGAACTTTAAAAATGTTTAGAGAATTGTAGCCTGCATACTTCAAGCAAAAGGAGCGTGTTAATAAAATAAAAGGCAGATAATATGCATCTCGACAATCTTTTCCTTCCATGGAGTCACTGTAGGTGATCGTAAATTACGGGTAACAGATTGATCCTAAATTTAGGATTGATCCTAAATTTAGGATTGATCCATGTGCAAGCATATGGTAGATGAAAAAAGGGACCCCAATTCAAGAATTTTAACAGTGCTCTTCAAATCATGATAGGCCTAAAACATTGCGTACAAGAAAAAAATAGAAGTGCCTCCCCTTTTGTTTTTTAATGAATTTTATTTTGTTGATTAAATAAATAAATAAAGATTGCTTACAAGAAGAAAATAGTACCTTGATGCTCAATAAAGAGCTCGCGATGGATTTGAAAATACCAATTAATCCGCTGGGGATAACGGATTTCTATGTCTTAGCCTTTGATTATAGGATACGTTAAATTTGTATAGACTTCCCATAGGTTTCAAGTTCAAATTACTAGATCTCATAAAAATCAATCATTATATAAATTACATTTTACAATAAAAATATTATTTTGTAATTTGCCTTAGATCAACTATATTAGTTTTAATTATTGATAAAAGAGTTGAGTCTTTAATATTGAAAAACTCACTTATTACTCAATAATTATAAGAAGTATAGTTTGTATAAATCAAATTGCACTTCACCTTTCTGTTTTATTATTTATCACTTATAGTTAAATAAAGATTTGTGCTAAAAACTTAAATAATTAAATGATAATCTTTTTTTAGTAAAAGTAAGTATTAAATTTGAGTTACATGATATACAAATTAGATAAGTTAAAAAATAAAAGAAAATTAATTTTAATTGTATAACTTAAATAAAAAAATAAAGGTTTTGTTTATCATGTTCAATTCTTTCAAGAGTTCGTGAGAGAAAAGTATTCGTAAATTTTCAATTTTGATATGGATGGCCAGTAGCGGAACTATGTTCGCCTAGGGTAGGGCCCGGACCAGATCTTAGCCCAAGAAAAAAATTTAGTGAATGCATTTCTTATAGAGCATTTGTAAAATTTCCCAATTTCATTTCTTTATTTTATGCAAGCAATGTGCCCCCCCTCTCGTTTGAATTGAGTAAGCAAAGTATTAATTGCTTCATTACGTTCAAAAAAAAAAAAAATGTACTCGGTATGTATAATTGTGCACCTCGTATTTAAACTCAATTAAAAATCCCAAAAATAATATCTAAAAAGAATTGATCATTCACCAAAGTTGACCTCACAACCTTAGATTTTATTTGATAATATTTTTTAATACATTATTTTTTAGTTTTTATATTTTTTATTATTTTAAAAATATATAAAATATTAATTAAAATAAATATTAAATATATAAAATATATTTTTAGGATATTAAAGAACTAAAAAACCTACAACTACAATTACTAATCAACATTGTCAAACTAAATCTTAGTTAAGGTTGTAGCCTTGTGGATTATGAGTCTTTTTTTTGTTAGATGATAAATTATACAATAGAGAATAGTTCTTCTTTTTTTTTTTCCAAACTTCTTCTCATTCACCCTAAAATTCAAATTAAAATCCCTGAACATAAAAACTTAAGATGTTAACTATTAAGACATTCTCTAAAACACTGATCATAGGGCCTTAACCTCTAGGTTGTTAATCACTACACTTTGAGGCCTGATTGACAAAAATTTTTATATGAGTTGAATTGTATTTAAGGTCTATACGTTGTATTAAGCTCATTATTAATGTTATATAGTGTAACATACTTTATTTATTCTATATTAAAGGAACACTACTGCAAGAATGGGATATTCAGATCGAAATATCGGTCCGAATATATTCAAAATCG